CAGTCATAGTACTAATCTTAGTCTGAGTTAGCCCTACTTCTGATAAATGTCACATATTATCTATTATATATGGTGATTCATACATTACTTCTAATAGGAACAAGGGTCATGACTCGCAGTGTTGTAGATAAGATGATAAGGGTTATTGAAAATAACCCTTATTTTCAAGATAATGATATACCCTTATCTTGTGGCTGGTCCAAGATAAGACCCTTAATATGCTTATTGATTGCATCAAGTAATAGGTGATGCATGCACAGCCGCCTGTCAGCACACCTGAGAACAACCTGAGAAGGAGTGTTGGGTCATATTTACAGAGGAGGGTTGGCTAATGGAGCTGTTGCTCACAGAACACAGTGGTGAGGAACTGGATGATGGTGCAATGGAGAGCTCAGGCAATGATTATAATCCTTAAATGAGCTTCAAAATTTGGTGTCCCAAAAAGGAAATTCTCTTAATAAGACCCTTATTATCAGGACCCTTAATAAGGGGAAATTCCATAATAAGCCCTTATCTTAGAGACTGACCCTTAATAAGACCCTTATCTACAACACTGGTCATGAGTGATCACTTTGGGTTGGCCCTATTAAATGTAGTATAGAACTCCTCTACTAGTCAAGCTAATACTAGTGGCAATGCCCTGATTGTATTTTGAGAGTATCCAAGGCTGGGATTAGAGAGGCCCAAAAGGAAGTTGCCCTGACAATCCAGCATGTATCTTATGTATTAATTTTTTTTCTAGCAGCATATATGCATACTAGATTAAGTATAGTTGAATATATTCATAACATATTCATATTTTGCAGCTGAATATTATTATACTATACTACAAATATATTATTGTGTTGGAGCTCTGAATATGATATGATTATAATATATTATGCCCATAAAATAATATAATCATATTTAGCCAGCACTAATTCACCGTTTCTTTTCAAGTTGACACGTCGCATGCACTCCACGTTCTCTTCGCCTCCCGGTCCGCGCTGAATGCGAGCCGTTAGCCAACTTCCGCGCCTTGCTCGGGTGCCAGAGCGGACACGAATGTATAAAAGCTGTCCCCATCTCCTCCGATTCCTCCATCCCAGCTCCGGGCCCAGCACACGCACTCCTTCCCCCACATTCTTTATCCACCACCACTATCATGCCGTCCTTCGCGCACATCGCCGTGCTCCTCCTCCTCCCTCGCGCTGATCAGCGCCGCGGCCATCCCCGCGCCGGTGCCCCAGGCGCCGGCCCTCCGGCGCCGGCCCGGCCTCCCCGGCTGACGGCGTGCTCAAAGCGCTCGCAAAGGCTGAGTTCGGCACGCTCGGCCGCTTGATCGACGCGCTCGGGCTGCTGCCGCCCGTACCGGCCCCTCAGCGGCCCCACCACCCTACCACCCCACCCCCTCCGGCCCCGGCTGCCCACGTGCTGGTCGAGCGCGATCATGATATCGACATCGGCATCGACACCCTCCTCACGTAAAAACCCCCGATATGTCCCCTCGCTCCGTGCCCGGGCCGGCTGCTCGATTGGACGCCGATCTGGAGCGCCGCGCCCTCATCCGGGCGAACCAGGCCGCGCACCCTGTGCCGGTAGCGGCCCCGGCCCCCGCCGAGGACGTCGCGCATGTGCACCGGGCGGCAGGGGGCGGTGCCGGCTATGGATGCCAGTGTTGGGGTCGACATGGACGGCTCTAACGCTGGAAAATCTGCGTACCCGGGCCGTCCCGCTGCGATCGATCCTGTATCCCTCCCTCCCTCCCTCCCCATCTTTCCCCATTTATTGTTACTCCGTGGCCATACATACATACCCAACGCTGTAATTCAATACCTAAATCACACACGCGTCCGGCGGCCCGATCGCCTGACCGCACCTTATCGTCAGCGCAACGATCACGATCGCGATCAGTGACGTGGCGCAGTCTTCTCTTTTGCTTCTCTTCTCCTTCTCTCGGCGGAAAGACAGTCCTGTCACGCTCCAAGCGTATGCCGTCAATTCTGACCGTTTTTGATGATGGCATCAGCTGCACCGCTTCTTCGCTTTTTGACACCCGCTCTCACTTGGCTTGCGTATACATGTTGACGCAAGTTATGTTATTCCAGGGGGGCCGCCGCCGTTTCGTCGATCGCCGTTGCTGGGCTCGACGCTGTCGTCACCGTCGCTAGCTGTCTGTCTACCACCACCACCTTCCTCACTGCTGGTTTCCGCTCTCCAACCCTCACCCTCTCTGCTGCCGCCCTTGTCGTCTGCTTTTGGCCCCTGGCACGGGTCATCAGCGCTTCCATCTACTCGACAGGCTCTCAAACGGCGGGTCCAATGACCACAGTCTCAAAGGAAGCCATCGATGCTGCAGCAAGACGCGACGCGTTCCTTTTCCCAAAGAAGGACGGTGGTCAAGAAGAGCATGTCGTGTGAGTGGTTGTGTCTTTCATTGCCATCGTCTAATCCAGTCACCTAGCAATGGAAAGACTAAACTCCAGCTTCAGACCCTTCTGCGGGCCTACAATCTTCCGTTTACCGGCAACAAATCTGCGCTGGAGGAACGCCTCAAGGATTTCAGTGTCAAATTCTGTGCAGACCCCGATAATTGGTGCGTTTTCTGACTGCCTTCATAATCATCTTCTTATTCTATCTATGCTTTAGCCGCCAGGGACGGCGAGCTACCGCCCAGCGCTCACATAAGGGACCCCGGGAAGATTCGAAGAAGACCAAGATCAAGCTGTCCGATACACGCCCGTTCGAACATCATCGATACGGAGCGGGTCACGGAACGGTCGAAGGACAACCGCACAGAGAATGACAAACAAGATATGCGGGCCTGGGTGTGTTCATATCGTTCCATTCGCTATATCTACTGAAATAATGAACCATAGGCTAATCGTACATGTGCAAGGCTTCCGTATCGACCCCCGCCTTCCGAACAGTCTCCGCCTTCCGAACAGTCTCCACCACCAGCAGAACAAGCGTCGAACGTGACGTCTACAGGGATTGAGACGGTGGCTCCAACGCAAGTAAGCTTTGAAGCCAGTGCATTGTGTTTATACTCAGAGATGTTAGGCGCATGATCTTTCTGCTCGAATCCAAGCACTTGAAAGTCAGCTGGCTACGATCTCAAGGACGCCACAAGGCTATAATCAGCAAACTACGTATATGGGGAATAGCCAGCTGAACGACTGCTTTGGAGGGGAATTCAATGAGTTCTACTGGCCCCAACGACCGATGTTAGTCGAGGCGGGGCTTGTGCCTATGGAGGTGGATCCAATCAACTTCACTTGTGATGTTGACATGGTGCGGCTTCGATGGCCTCTTCCTATTGCTCTCTCTGACGATTGCCTAGAACATGTTGTCCACATCTGTTTCTGCAACGGCTGACGACAACAGGTATTATATTGGGCTACGCTATTACTAGCTAACGTACCGTTTAGATCCACGATCAAATGTCCCGCAGACCGGTCTCTCGTACTTGGAGATGGGACTATCTTCCGAATTACTGGTGTCGAAATCACACAACTGAGCGTACCTGCAACCTCATTCGCCAAAAAATTTATCGCTCCTCAATGAGATGTGGGACGATACCTCACCCTTCTGGAAGGGTCAATCAATACTTCAAATTCGGGGTCGACATATCGCAATTGTTTACTGGCGTGAGCTTTTTAAAAGCACTGGTCAATGGTCTGCCCACAAATCAGCTTGGACGGAGTGGAAGGTATGTGCATCAACACTTGTTTATACATTGCTCTTGACTGTAGTCCAGTTTCTTGTCGAACGGTATCGGTATAGTACTGTGGAGGAGTTTTGGGCCGAGTTTACCCGAAATGGTAGGCGAATGACATTTACAGCTATTCTGAAAAGGTTACGGGAGGAGCGAGGAGTCAGAAACAGTCATTTAGTTAAACAAGCACGGGCGGAGTATGGCAACAGGTTCTCAGAGGTTTTCTCTTACATATCATCATCTCGGAAAGGTGATCGGGTGGTTATGACTCGAGAGTCACATATTGCGGAGGAGTACAAACGTCTGAAAAGGCTAGATGGGATAGAGGTTGACTAGCTTACTATACCTTAAATAATGATTCATGTTAATCTTTTGGATTCTGAAGTAAGAACATGAATGAACAAGAGATACTGGTATGGATATCTACATTCCGCAAGGGCAGTTTCGACCACATGCCGGGCAGAACCTGGTAACCTGTTGATTAGGATTGAGAAAATCCTCACGTCTTTGAGTTGGGTCATCATTCCAACTGATCAAATACTTGACAATAGTCAAGTTGGAGAAATCCATGCTCCAGCCACCCCATTCACAGATCTTCCGAATGCTCCAACGCTTGTGGGTCGCAAAATACTGACAGCCACCCCGACGGAAAGAGTGGGTCCCATACGGAATTGGATCACAGCCAATATCAAGTAGGTTGTTTCGGAAAAGCTCTAAGAATCTTTCAGATTTCTACAATAATCAAAATAGTATCCAGTTGAGCTGAAAATGGAAATATCATACCATTGGGGAGGTTGGAATACAGATCTGATCTCTTTTGGTAATGTTGGGGAAAAGATACCCGTCATTGTGCTCAATAACGGAAATCCATCTGGCAAGAGCGCGAACAGGACAGAGATGAGCCTCTTCCTCTGGCCGTTCATGGAGTACAAATGGTTTGATGTCTAGAGACATTGTGGTTAGAGTAAATATAATGTTTTGGTAAGGCCAGTCAACTTACCTCCATACTGGCTTGTTTTTCGGAAAGGAAGAGTGAGCTCAAAGCTATGCTCATCAAGACGTCTGATATCATGATGCTGGATTTTGAGTGCCTCATCAAAGCGGAGTAGACAGAGGAACGCAAGCACATAAATAGTATGCAGCATTGCCCGTGTGCGTCCACCACACCAGTTGTTGATGTCACTGATATTTCGATTTTTTTCGAGTGATGGGTTTGATTTGTGAAAGCTCGGGTTTATTATTGAAGTGATAAAGCTTATAAAGCATTTCCTGATGATATGATCAGATCATTTTATTTTTATTTTTAAAGACGCACGGGTGTAATTGCACGAGCACTAGTAGCAACCTCTCCAGCACGAACCTTTTTTTTCCGAAGGGTGATCATATATCGAGAGACAGCCTCAGATACAGAGGGGTTTCCAACCCAGCACCAGGTTCTTGTTCCCGAAGCATCAAAGCTATCGATCTGTTCCCAGGGACGTGAGCCTAGATCAGCAATACGACCAAAGCCATATGTTGCTGCAGCTCGCATCTTTTGAGCATGACTATAGGAAGAGGAGACTTGATTCGAAGATTTGGCTGTCCCGTCAAGGTTGATATTGTCACATCTAAAATTAGTGGTAAGTATTTCAGAGCCAAAGAAGGAAGTCTGGCTTACTCGCTCATAATCCATGCAACAATGAATGCTGCCGAGTCGGCCACTGGTGTAGGCGAGAAAAAAAAATTGTCTTTTGGAATGAAACCTTTGTCATGCATAAATTTTTCGCACTGAGTGATCAATCTGACAATAATCAGTATTTCTTTATAGAGATAATCTAGATTATTTACCTTCGGTAAGATGCATCAGTAGCCTCAATAACACCCTTTGATGCCTGAGCAATTACTTTTTTCATACCGTTCAAGTCGATGTTATTGACAGCACTTGTTGTTGTTGTTCTAGCTCCATCAGCATTGTCTTCTTCAGAGTCAGTTTCCTCTTCTTCATCTGAAGCCTCTTCTTCATAAAGCCTTGCGTATTCATCTTCAATGATGGGAAAGCCAAATGCCTCCTGTTCACCATCCAAATCATCCTCGATCTCTTGCTCCTCTCGCTCTATACAGTTTTCTTCAGCTTCGTTAGGATTATCATGTTGAGTGGATGGCTTTGCAATAGCATCATATATCCCAGAGTATTCTGGCGATTGTAGGTCAAACATGAGAGGAGAGTACAAGAAGCGGTGAATCAGGAGTCTGTCTATCGATAGCCTACAACTCGCCCTCGGAATCACTCATTATAAAAATTTCCTCCCGACCTTCATAGATTGTAGAGATTGCAGTATAACGTGTTGAGACTGAATGAATTTAATAAAAGAAAAGAACATGAGGTGGACGCAAGTCATACCTTGAGTTGTCGGCTGACCGACAGTGGGTTGGCAGATGAAATCCAAGACCATTGACCGGTCGACCACCTCCAACATCGACATCGGAAGCCACACTCGAAGTTTCTTAAGGTTATTTTCCAGCCAGCGCTCTACATCTGCAGTTGAACCCCTCGTTAAGCAACGCAGCGGATCTCTGATGTTGCCAGCATCAATACGGACAGAAACACGAAGCTCACGCATGGAGTCGGTGCCGCGTTGAGCACGTTCTCGCTCGACATGCTTAATTATGGATGCCGAGGTTATCTGGCCACCATCAGCTGCTTGAGCCGAAAGAATAACCATTGATATAACCAAGCCAGGGAGGATATGCGTTGAGATCCGCTTGAGGATACCGTTGGTGTGGCCCCAGTTGAAGAGCTGTTCGGCAAGGATAGCCAACAGGTCAAGTCTAGGTAGGCAACGCTGAATGACTAGGCCAGGTATATGCTCTGAAACGGCAGGCTGGAGGTAAAGAAGGATAATGTCGAGATCGGGAAATGATTCGGGAAGAGACTCCGCAAGAGAGCCAATTTACGACTTGACAATGTTCCAGAGGTATTTGTACGTAGCTCTTCTTGAAGCTCCGCCCGCCAGAGGGAAAGCGAGCGATACGCGTCGCTTCTTGACTTTCCATCAACAGCAAGGCCTAGTTTGGCTCCAAAACCAGCTTGGGCTAGAGCGATTGCAGTCTTGATTCCACAGTGCGGAACTCCATCCTAGGGAGAAGTGTGAGACGAAGAAGTTAAAGAGTGAAGCTAACATACATGATAATCACCGCCAACAAGTATGGCAATTAGAACAAAGTCGTTACGAGTTAGGCCAAGTATCTGTTTGATGTCTGCTGCAGAATAAATCGAGCCGCTTAGATGTTTCTTGTCCTCTGAGCGGCTAAGTGAGGACGTTAAGATAGACAAACAGACATAAAATGACAACATACATACGCAACACTGAGGTTGCCCCAAAAGCGAAGCAGTCGGAGTCGTCTGATTGGACCATGTCAATTGGCGCCGGTATCCCGATTGCAGACATAGTCGCAAGTGTTGCTTCAGCCTCTCCGGGGGCCTATGACTGTTAAGCAACGGTGCTGAAGAATGAAAACAAAACATACGATGAACCAAACGCAGCCAAAGGCCTCAATAATCTTCTTGAAGTCCGCAGAAAGGCGATGTCCACTTTTGCAGATTCGATGACCGTGCTTCATTCTAGGCCGATGGGGCCCATCGAATACAAAAATGAGAGTAACAGCAGCGGTGATAAACCGCTCCACGCGTGCCCAAAGCTCTTGCTTGCAACAGATTTCAAGAAGGTTAGCATAGAAAGAAGAAGAAGAAGAAGAGAAAAAATGAAAAATGAAGGGGACATGCCACGCAGGATCCAAGGGCGAATCTCCTTGCGGCATGCATAGAAGGGAGATAGAAGGGACAAAAGGAAAGAGGGAGAGGACTCACCACAGAGAAGTAGCGAAAGGCAAAAATGACCACGCGCCGCGCCGAATGTGAGGCTATCCACCCCATTCCTCACGGCCAATTATGGCGCAGCGCAGTGCCTTTCCGAGGCGAGGGTGTTTGCGCTGGTGTTTGCGCTGTACCAGTGATGGGAGCGGCAGTGGGTCATGCGTGGATGGTCGTCGATGGCTGTCGAGCAAGAATATCGATGGGCAAGTGCTGTCTGAGCGTGAACAGCTGGCAGGGGACCAAAGGGAAAAAAGAGACATACCTTTAGCCATAGAGTATCCACAATGCCGGATAGAGCGCAGCCTGTAATGCCCGCCCCGCCCGCCCGTGAATCATGAGAGCCGAGCCAGGCTAGAATTTGTCAGAGGCAAGGGTTGTAAGAGGCGGGGCTGGCGGTGACGGAGGGAGTGGAGTGGGGTTTGATAGAGCATCCTCTCCACCAAGCATTGCTCTGCTGAGGGCAGCAGGGCTGGAGAGGACGTTCGCGCAAGGTTGGAAAACGTCGCGCAAGGTTGGAAAGAGAGGTCGGTCACGGGCTTAAATAAGCAATCCGTTTTGGGGTTGTTGACGATCATAAACAAACGCGAAGGACGCGACAGGACGCGACGCGACGCGTTCAAGTGAATCAAGTCACACAAAAAACATCGCCAACCACGGCTGGCCATTATCCAGCACAACAAGACACGCGCGAGGCACGCGAGGCACAAGCGATGCTGCATGCTGGGATGGACTGGACGGCTGTTGGTCCCCATATATCAAAAAGGTCTTTTTTTCCATGTGTCTCGTTCGCTCGGCGAATTTTGGCTGGCAAGAAATGTCTTTTCACTCACATAATTCACCGTGAAAGACAGTCTGAGTCTGGGAAACGAACGTCAAAAGACATTTTGTATCCGGCAGCCGAGCAAACACGCTTTACTGACATTATACGTTATGTAGATCCAGTACTCTTGTTTCACTACACGCTCGTCTCGCTCTCCGCTGCTCGATCACCCGTGTCGCTGCTCGATCACCCGTGTCCCTCCCGTGTCCGACTAAGCAACACGCGTTTCTTTCTCTGAGTTTCTCACCTCCCATCGTTACCCACACACCCACCCACCCAGCACCATATCTCACTCCAGATCACTCCACGAATATTATATCTCTCTCGCACTATCTCTCTCGAACTCGAACTCGAACTCGAACGAACCGACCGACCCACGACCATGCCGCCACTGCCAGTGTATCAGCCACCGGCCACACCGGCCACTAGCTATAGTGGTGGTCTTTTGCTTTCGGGGTACGTTCCTCTCCTTCCTCCTTCTCGCCCGCCCCGCCCCCGATTTTTCTTCCCGGCCTATGGCCGGTTGCTCTTTGCATTCCTCTCTCTCATACATACCCTCCCCTCCCCCGTTATCTCTTGTTTGCCTCCGCGTTCTTGTTTCCGTTCCCTTCCCTCTCTTTTGCCGCGGCCTCGGTTGTTTGCCTCCGCGCTGTCGCTGCCTCCTCACCGTCGCACTCGCGCACGATCGCGATCTCGATTCGATCGTCTCGTCTCTTGGCTTGTTTGCCGTCGCTTGGCTACCTCCCCATCAAACGTCACCCAAATGTGACGACGGTCTGTTTCTTCGTTTGAATATTCACTTCCTTCTTCACCCCGTCGTCCGCAGATACACCGGGCGGGCGTACGCCGGGGCGTGCACTGGCACTGGCAGGCGAAGCACACCCGGGTCTCTGTCTTCGTCTTTGGCTTTGTCAGGCTCAGGACTCGTTGTCCCGGCCGGCGCCACCGGTGTATGCATCACCTATAGTGCACCCTAATACCCTCTAGTTAGAGGGATAGAGTGGGGTACTCTCTCCCTCTAACTAGAGGGGGTTGAGCCAGTAGCGGGCACCCCCGCTAAATATGGCTACCAAGGCCGGTCTTGGTAGCGGGGAAAGAGCCCCGGAGGCTGCCATCACCCTCCCGGCTGCCTCCCCGCCCCCGCCAGTGTGCGCGCTGCCCGCCCGCCGCCCCCAGGGCCTCGGCGTCGTCGTCACGATCGTGACTTATGTCACCGATCGTTGATTGACGTCGCCGATCGCCGCCCGCTGTCGTCGGCCGCGGAGCTTCTTGCCCGCCGCTGTCAGGCACCCCGCCGCCGCTGTCAAATAGTCCGCCGACGTCGTGCTCAACGTTGCCCTTGACGGTGAGCTCAGTTCTCCATCATTTTCGATCAAATAAATTGATTTCTAATCAAACTTGATGATCGCAACACCATGGCGGTGTCATCGCTGTCATCAGCTGATCCCGCCCTCCCCCGACGCCCGCCCGACGCGCCCCGACGCGCCCCCCGACGCCTCCCGCCCCAAAAATGAAAAAGCTGCGGAATGTCACGAAAGCCATCCCAGTACAAACCGCTTATTAATAGCTGTGTTCGTTTAAGAGATATTAATAAAAGTCGTTAACTCAATTAAAAGTCGTTAACTCAGCTATCCTCCGTTATATGTAAAATTCGGTCCAACGCCTCACCTAGACCCTCAACCTCCTCCTCATCAGTTTCATCTCCATCATCCTCCCCTCCAACCACTTCTCCATCTCCCTCTCCCTCTTTATTCCGCTCCATCTCTGCAGGAATGCCTAACACCTCCAGCCCCACCTCCCAATTCACATCCTCCGGCACTCTTCTTTCCTCACAGACCCCACGGCCAGGGAGTATAGAGCCGGTGAAGCCTCTCAACTTGGTAAGCTTCTGAAGCCGAAGTATATGCAGGCCTGAAAACCTTCCCTGCAGCATTCGATATTGTTGAACTTGCATTGCGCGGGCATATCTTCCCTCCGCCTTCAATCGTCCTTCATGGAACACAAGAAACCTCTCCTCCTCGTGAATATATGTCACCAGCCGGAGGATCTCGAGGTCTAGACGTAGACGTTCTTCTTCAGCACGAAGCAGCTTGTAATAGAGGTCCATCGCCTCCCGAGCGCCAGGCTGCGCCCATGGAGCATCCCGTATGTCTTCCCGGCCAAGCCGTAAGAGGTCGAAGTCGGCCAGCAATGCGTAGTTCATGACCTCGTCTGAACTCAGTATGGGCCGATCTACCGCTGCTGCTGCCTGATTGTATTTGATCAACGCGATTCTGAACTGCCCTCGAACGAGCTTGCAGGGCTTTTGCGATATGCTTCCGAAGCTTATAGCCTACCGCCCGTAGTCAGTTACCATAGAGCAAAAACAAGAAACGAAATACCAGTTCCTGCTAAGTTGATACGACCCAGCTCCAGCAGTCGGGCTATTACCAGGCCTTGTATATGGTCCAATGCTCGCTGGTACCGTCGATTCTTGACCAACTCGGCAGCTTGAACCCACTCGTTCGTTCCAGGCTCCCATC